TTTCAATTGTAAGGGGAAGAAATAATTTAAGTCAAAAAGGATATTAGTCTGTCCCTCAATTTTAGATTTTTAAAATAGTAGTTTTAGGTGTGAATGTGTTTTAACAGATATTTAGGTGTGTATGTTTGTTTGTTTTGTTTTAATCTGGAATAAAAAGTGAGCCATCTTAACCCATTTTATCTCTCGTTTCTGTCATTCAGAGTTTGTAGTCATTCTATATACTTTTTTTTTTCACTTGGCAGGCAAAAATGGTAGCCACAATCCTACCAGCTAAACATTCTTCTGTCTTAACTATCTACTCCCAAATCCCAATCTTCTTGAAAATAAGACATTGTTTCTCTACCAGTGTCCTTGCTTTAGTCTTTGGTCTTCACTCTGTTTTTGACCAATGATTCAAAGAGATTTCAATCAATTATTAGCCAGGTGCTTATCATGTACCACCCACTCCTAGAGACAATGGTCATCTGAGACTCACCATCTAAATTAAAGGAGCAGCTAACAACCTCCTATTACTGATACAGATGGGAGCTATTAATCTTGCACTGTAGATCAAAGACAGTGGGAAGATTGAAATAATTAATGTTGTGAAGCAGCCAACATGATAGATAGATTCACAATATATGCATAGATAGAGAGAAAGACATATATTTCTGTATGACATACTCCATTACTGCATTACAATGCCTTTGCATCGTGGAATTATCAGAATCTCATTCCAAATGCACTTAGCATATGAAATAAGAAGGATAAGGGGGAGGAGGAGGACAAGAAGAAGAGGAGGATGAAGAGGAAGAGGAAGAGGAAGAGGAAGAAGAAGAAGAAGGAGGAGGAAGAGGAGGAGGAGGAGGAGGAAGAGGAGGAGGAGGAGGAGAAGAAGAAGAAAAAGAAATTTTTAAAGTTGCTCTTCCAACTTGATGTGAGGATCACTGTGTGGTGTGCATCATTCTCCTGATACTCTTGCCTTGGTCCTAGTGTGAATTTCTATTATCTAGGAGTGCATGACAGTAGGTGTTCTAGCTGTCTGAACTAAATAGAAGTTTTCCTGGAAATCCTGCAAAACACTTTATTTTCTGATCTTCAGCTGTAACTAGGATAGCCACAAGCAAATACAATTAGTGCTCAGTGAAACTAAGAATAGCTGTCCAAGGAAGTATGGGGACTTAAGTATAGACTAACATATACCTACACTTTCCTTTTTTAAAAACCAGGTGTTCTAAATACATACACTTCTCAGGATGTGGTCAAAGTTACAAAATGAACCAAGATATGTCTTTACAAATGTTTTGTTAATTTGTCAATCAGTTGCAAACTTGTATATCAGGGTAGAAAGGTCCTTTGATTTTTTATACCATATTTATTTATTTAACATCACTTTTGTTAACAGTTTTTATTTTTAGAACACTATTGATTGAAAATGCTACAAACCCAACTGTAATTATCTTGATCAAAAAGGAAACATATTCTATAACATTGTTAAGTCTAGAGATGGATTTGATTCAAGAGTAACTGTATCTGGCTAGATAAACAGTAGCTTTAAGGCTGCCTCATCTGGTTCTTCACATTACTAGGTTTGATTTTCTTGAATACTCTCAACAGCCAGAAAGCAAGGCAACTGACAGTAGCCCCAGAAAGATTTTGTTCCCAGTGAAACTAATTCATTTCCAGAAGCTATACATCAATATCAAGGAAGTCTCCAATGGGTAACCCTGTGGAAACCATGTGCCAGAGTTCAACCTCTGTAGACCCAGAGAGTGACTCCTTACTGGGTGATATTATGGGGTGAGGCAGAGGATGGACAAGCGAGGATGGTAGACCACACAGTCATTTGTGATGGAAATGGATCTTGTACACAGAAGGAAAACAAGATTGAGGGCAAAGAAAATGACACAAAATAAAACAGAGAATCATAGTGAAATATTGACATTGAAATAAGTCAGCATTCATTTCAGAGAATGTTCATAAAGTCATAATTATTATAGTATATACAGTTAATCTTCAGAGATAATATTTTCCCATAAAAAAGTTCAGAGTTAAGGAATAAGATGTGCATTTTCAAAGGTGTATGTAAGAGCTGATAAAAACAAAGCAACATGATGTGATCCAGCCTGGAGGGTGAAGCAGCTTTGGGAGGTGGTGTAAAGATGGTGAGGAAAACACACAGGTGAGAACACAAGCAGGCACAGAATGCAGGTCAAGGTTCAGAGCACAAACTTAGAGAACAATCACAAGGAATTAAAGCTATGGAATATATTCAGCTTTTGTCTTCATGACTTTATTAGAAACAACTTCTGTTAATGCCAATGTTTTATCTACAGTTTAATGAAAAATAATTTAACTGTGCTTTATGATGAAGCTTGTTCTGCAACTTATTTTTCCATGAAGGTAGGTTCACTTAGTGTTTGACTTTTGATATCTGAGCTTGGCTTCACTCAGCCAGTATGAAGTCTGGTCAGAGATAGAAATCATGTCTCTATCATATATGCAGAAAAATTAAAGTACAAGCTAGAATGACCTCATTGTGGAAAACCTTTAGTTGATGGAGTTTCAGACATAAGTGAATTTGTCTGTTGATTTGAATCAACCTTTTCTTTTTTTGGTACGGAGGATTGAACCTAGGGGTGCTTTATCCCTGAATATAATATCCCAGTCCTTTTTACTTATTTATTTATTTTTGTTTTGAGACAGAATGTCACTAAATTGCTGAGAGTCTTGCTGAATTGCCCAGGCTGGGCTCAAATTTAGATCCTTCTACCTCATTGGGATTACAGGTATGTGCCACCACACATGGCTGGAATTGGTTTCTTTCAGGTAAAATTATCATGATATCTGACCTAGGCATTTCTCTCCAGCTATATTTGAAGAAGGACTTTTCCGTTTAAAAATAGGTACACTATAAATGTTTCATTGCTACATTCTATGAAATCTGAATATGATTATCAGTAATCTCATCCCATAATATTTGTTGAAATAAAATGAAAGCTGAGGGAAATGTGAACATGAATAAAATTAAATCAGTTGCATACTCAAGATTTTTCTTAACTGAGATGCTAAGCTTTGAAGTCAGACAAACCTTTATCCTGTTTCTGTTCTCTTATGCTGACCCACTCTGCCATACAGTGTAAAATGTCCCCTCCTGAGCCTCAAGATCCTCATTTACAATGTACATAGTGGCATGTTTCCAAAGGCCATGGTGAAACCAAACTAGAGCAGCCTTATTTTGGCCAGACATCAATTTTCAGTTGTTTTTCTCCAGTGGAATGCAAAGGTAAGTATCCCCACGAGACTGAGTTTTAATTACATTATATAATTTCTTCCATGCATTATGCATAGCTTAAAATCAAGCCAAGAGATATTAATTTTAAAAGTTTACTTTAATAAATATTTTATATAATGGTTTTACTCT